CAGCGTAGTGGCGAATCCCGTCCATAGATCGTATAGAATTACTTAAACGAGCAAATCTATTGACTGAAATGCACATGTATGAATTTAAAGGTTTCCCCGTCATTATAATAGACTACTCTGAAGAAGGATTACCATTCCTGATTTTTACTGTTTGTTCTATTTTTTTAGTAATATTTCAGGATCGTCCAGAAAATAAGTTTAACGATTTCATATCTTTTATTTTATAACATACAAAGACGACCGATGAAAAATATTAAAAGCAACTTTTTAACGAGCCGCACATTATTCTTGTCAGCCCTTTCGAACCCTAAGAAAGTGAACTTTTCTGAATCTGCCCTCCTATGGAGCCTCTGTAGATTTGCCCGGTGTGCTATCATCAACACATGAGCTGCTGCATCCATCGCTTATCGTAATAAAGAACTTCGTGATGATTGAATTTATTTTAAAATTTAGTAAAGGTCACTTTTTTACTGAAATATAGCAGGGTTGGTAAAGTTTACTTTGATTAGTTTAGCTTGGGTGGGATGTGCGGGGATGTAGGGTGCTGACTGCAGTTTCCGAAAAAGTCGTCTTGAGCCCTCGGGTCTGAAATGTGTTTCGCATCTCTTATATTATCCTACACGTTAGGAAAACAATGCCATCAAAAATGAATTTGAAGGAAGCTGCAGCCCTCACAACACATGACACATTATTGATCACGATAAAAGCAGTTATTGATATTTTTTGGCAGAAGGACGAATAAAAAAGGGTATTCAACCGTGTAGAAGGAAAGAAGAAGGACAACTTAATGATCGGATGAAAAGTAATAAGTTATTAAGTAGTAAGATCCACCAATTTATGCAAAGTGAGCATATGAGTCTTCCAAAATTCTTGCAATACAATTTTTCCTTTATATTGCGCGTGAAGTTCTGCCATTCTCGACCTCCTGAGTAACCTAACTGCGATGAGCGAAAGATGCAGGAACTCACTCGCTCCTGATGGGTTGTGAAATTGTCGACCTGCGCATGAGAGGTATGGGCTCAAAAAAATGTATTTTTCTTGGGTTCAAGAGGAAAAAATAAATATTGTTTAGCTCGTTAAGAAGCCACGACTAATGTCTTTCAAACGTTTTTCATTACCCTTTGTCTCTGGCATCATAGTTTAGAGCCTCGTGTGTTCAATGTTATACATGAACTACTACCATCATTCCTAAACTTAATCTCTTTTTTGTCGCGCATTAGTCTTTCACCACTATATTTAATCAATCTTTGTATTTAATCAATTCTTGCTCGGCATTTATTAAATGAGTGAATTCATCGAGGCTTGTGAATAAACAATGAGCGAAAACATTTGCGTAATACCTGACCACCGATTTCTTCTGTTCTCTATAGGATGCGTAATATTTTAACTATCATAGATAGTACTTTTTCTTAAATATTTAGAGGTCATTAGTGTAGATAAACCATTAGATAGATGAATTTGAAGATAATACACAGCCTAGATCTTGAGTACTCGGTGATTTATTTTTTCTGAGGTTTTTCTCTTCAATTAGATTTACAATAAATTTAGTTCAGAGCGTTTTGCTGAAAGATATCAGTTGATAATATCACACGCGTCAGTATTGAAAGAAAATTGAGATACAGAACATTGCGCGTGAACACTTTTTCATAGTATAAATCATATCTCTTCAGAATTTTTACGTTCGAGTCTGTTTCAGTCCTCTTTGATGCATTTTTTTGGACTCTTCCTTCTGGGTTTTGAATGATGCGATTTTTTAGCTTCAGTTTTAATTCTTACTATTCTGTCGACCGGCTGAAGATAATCAGAGTTGCAGGGCGAAATGTCCCGAGCAGTGGCGAGGTGTGAAAAATCGATTACCGATAATTCCCCATGTGAAGCTATGGTAAAGAATCGATTGTTAAGGTGCTCATTGCGAACAACCTCTATACCGATCCTTTTCCATAGGTTTAAATGGTAGATCAATCGATATATCTCAAAGCATTCTACGCCACTGGTCCCGAGTTGCTGATGGTATTTATAGCCTTGCTCCCAACTTTTCCTCTTCTTCACTTGCTTCTTTGAATCGCTGCATATCACTTATGCACTGTAAAGACAAACTGAGTCAGGTTTTACTAAAGTTAAACCTTGATGCCATTTAACGGTGGACCAAATGTTTCTCTACAATAGTTCCATAGTTATTTAAAAATAGATACCAGAAACACGCTAAAAAACCAAAACTAAAAAATGTATAAAGCACCTAGAAAAAATAAATTTTTAACTCTTAAGTATCGATAAACGTATCTCTATATCCTTCATATCTTCCGCAAACGCAAAATTAGAATCAAGCGGACGGGCAGAATAGAACAACCAATAACAATTTTTAGTCGTACCAAACACCCGTGCACATTGCAAGTGGGACTTCTACGTTTCGCTCTCATTTATTTGCGCTCATTTTTTATTTTATTTTGTTTCATTTATTTTTCAGTTCTTTATTTTTTTTATCATTTTCCCCTTTTCATTCATCATATTTCACCATGAACCTCTGACGTGCCTTCAGCACGTTAAGCAGTCATGTTTGTTCAATAACACCTTCTGCAGTATTCAATGCCTCAGTCAAATTCCGTTATTTTTTCTTATTACGATTAAAGCCTTTTTACAATACAACGTCCGTATTCTGTTGCTGAGGAAAAGACGGCGCCAACGAAGAAATGGTTTTCAGAGAAAATCAACTTCTACTTTGCCTCAATGGCATGGCGTCGTATTAACTGGTTCCATTTTTAAACTGGTTTTCTTGCGGTACTATTTCAATTTATGCCATTACTTTACTTTAGTATGCTCCCATAAATGAGCAGAGTAAAATGTTGACGTAAAATGACCTTTTTACTTTTCTCCGTGCAACTTTGCTTTTTTTTCTTTCTTTTTTTCAATGGTTTTTTTTTTTTAGAAGAACAGCGTAGGTATTTTAAAGGTTAAACAACGAACATTTGTACCGTAATTAACAAGAAGTTGTAAGTCAATTATCAAATCATCACAATCCTTGTGGTGTAAAATTTTTATTGACTGAACAAAAACAGAAAATATTAACAGTTTTGAAGTCACTTGTTGGAATGTTATAAAATTGAGGAGAATCCATTTTGAAACCTTTTTAACATGATAGATATCCCCTCTAAACCTTATTCGAATTACCTAATCTCTCCGTTTTCTGGTTTTTCACGACGGTAGAAAATGAGTCCGTTAAAATTGGAGAACAAAATATTTTTCGGATTTTCATTTCCGTCTTTTTCATTTTTTACAGATTTCAGGCGGTCAAAATGTTGAAATATACATATTTCTGCATCGCGAGTTTTTATTTTGATGAAGTAACATTTCTATATTTGTCATATATTTATAACATTTTTTTCTAATCACAGTATACTTACATTAAACGAGATATGTCAAGGAAAGCATTTACTCAACCCCTGTTGAAGAAGGAGTGGAATATGCGTAACAGATGAAGATTTGAGCTCAATTTAAGGTCATGCTTTTGGGAATACAACTGAAATTTCAACATTTTCACGTGACTACCACTCCCTTGACATGGGCCTGCTAGTCAAAACCCAATTTCGATGCATCATTTTTATGAGTGTCGTGCGCTCTCATGGAACTGAAGGCATGCATATCACTCGGGTTCTTTGAGTACTATGTAGATTGCGGGATGAGGTCTACGAGTACAGCAAATTCTACTCTGAGGTTATCCGACTGTCAAAAGATTAGTTGGGCAACTCCGCATTACACAGTGTAATGCAGGAAGCATACCTCCCCGTGATCCATAGTGCTCCTCGTTGATCGAGTTGTAAATGGACACGTATCTCCTGAATGTGTGCGGTGCGTTTAACCCACGAGTGCACGACTCTTTGCATAACCTTTTATTTGAAGGAGCAGCAAATGGTGGTGTTGAAGTAGCGGTATGCCGTCAAGTTTAACGAGCAATATTGTGCTAGTAGGGGTCAAAACTTTAAAGACCATATTGAAAGCCAATCTGTCAAGGAGACAAATTGGAACAACATTGTGATGAGAGATAATTTCATAACCCACATCATGTGGAGTCGTAGACCTTGCAATAAGCCCGGCCCATTGATATGACGAGACTGGATGTGAGGGTTGAATTAGACAGGACGAATGGTAAGAATCTGCAATTAGATGACGTCATGAAACATGTTAAGGTGGAGACGTCACCGAGAGACGTTGATCGATGACGTTATGTGAAAAGCCGAGCTTAGATTACTTTATTACTGCAACGTTGTAACATAGAGCCTGCAACTGCCACATTTATCAGATAACTAGAAAAACTTGTCATAACGAACTTAACGTAAACTTTATTTAAGTAGAAATAAGGTTAAACTTGTGTAAAATGTAAGTTTAATGTTTTGATAATGTAATGGCTCAACAAAAAATTTCATTCATATGCTACATTGATCAATATAACCTAAACACTAGAAAGATGAATGAGAAATAACATGACGTCAAAGCTGGGTTTTGACTTGACGACCGGCATCGGAATGACGTGATTACGACGTCCCAGTACCGAATTCTCCGCTGTATTGCCAAGCTTATGACCTTAAATTGAGCTCAAATCCCCATTTTATCGCGACAGGGATTGACCCGGAAAACTTTTCAACGTTGTACAACACAAATGTTGGATGGGGAAAAAGCGAGAAACCACCCGCAGAATCAAAGAGAGAGTAGATGACAGTTTCTTACGGAATATGCTAGGCTTTGTATGTACCCCCCTTTTTTCAATAGCATGCGCACCTGCATTTTTTTTCCTCATACAGTCTGAACTCACACCTCATGTTTCAAAAGATAACGCTACTTTCAATAAACAACTATTATTATCCAAAAAATTCTATATCATCACATAGAAGAAGAAGGGGGTTAGACTATTCTCTAATTCCTTGGACAGATTTCTAATTTTGCTCCAAAGCCCTTTTTCTCTTCTCTAATTCATTTTCCTCATCTTTTTCTTTTTTCTGCTTTTTCAGATTTTATGTGGTCACTTGGCGCCGCCCTATCAGATGGTGAGTTTTCCGTATTTTTCTAGTTCTTGTCTCTTTTTTTTCAAGTTTTATTCAAGATTTCGCCTACACTGAAAAAAAACACATTGGATCTAGAGTCCAGACTCTTAAAAACATCGACAAGAAAAAATACTCTTGATTCAATCGGATTCTTGCTTAAATCAAGAACCAAGCCTCTTAATTTGAGCGGATTTCCTTTTGATTTAAGCTTAAATCTGATTGAATCAAGAGTATTTTTTCTTGTCAATGTTTTCAAGAGTCTGGACTCTAGATCCAATATGTTTTTTTTTTTCCAGTGTACTACAAAGGTATTAGGAAATTTACAAATTAATTTATACTAAAGCTGAGGAATAATAACTGGTGGGTTGATTACAACCCTATTGAGGATTAGGACTCTAGGACAGGATCCAGATTATAAAATTAGTCGCTATAGTCTCATTTGATCCGATATTTTTTCGTCGCGAAGTATTGAGAGTTCAAGGAGTTCTAGAGCTGACTTTTTTCGCTCTTTATTTGCCGGGAGCATATTTTGAATTTATCAGGTACCAGCAATGAACGCGAACTTCACACGGGACTCAATCACTCGTGCTAATATTAGCTCGCTCAATTAACCCGATGGCGATACAAACAGAGCCACTCGGGAGGTTGAAATATTGCATCATTCATTAGGGGTCAATCATTTTTATGTATTGAGCCTGGACGAATTGATTTAAGAGCCAAAAATACGATTCACCTCCAATTCGATTGATATGCCATATTAGCTACTCGGAAATATCAAATTTTATATCAAATATCAATTATTACTTAAAATATCAAATTTTAAGTAAATGAGCCGTAGGGATCTCTGCGGTTGGATTTCAGATTTTGTGGCAAGGAAATACCTCCGGAGCATGAGTACAATCAATTTTAACATTACGTTTTTTTTAAGACCTAGGTATTTAAAAAAGCACATACTTATCGCACGACGTAAGGAAACGGTTTCAGTCAGAGAATCTCGTCAAGTCTAAAATGCCCTCGGTCCGGAAATACTTATCTGTGTTTCGGGAAATGTAGAAACCGTTGCTCAAGATAAATTCGCGGTGTTTTTCGGCTGCACGGAGAATTTTCTACATCACGCAAAGTTTTGGTTAGAAAAGGACATTCAAGAAAATTAAGAGATAGTCTTTCGGTTAGGCACATTAATCTCGCGATTTAATGCATCATATATAAGTAAATGTGAACGCATGTTACAGGTTTTCCGTCAACTGCAGCGTATGCCGCATACACGGCTGGCCGCGCGGGATATTCTGGCTACCCCAGCTTTGGACTACCTTATCCAGCAGGTGAGTGAGCCGTTTGAAATCTTCTTCATCCACGTCACAAATTGATGCTGATTATATAAAACTGATGTGCGTTGGCCGCTTTAAAAGAAAATTCTATTCAAATCATTGTAAAATCGCCCCATCTCCAACTAATTTATAAGTTAATTACTTAATATTTGAAATATCACTAATAATATTTGAAATATCACTAATATTTTTAAACAACGATCAGTCATTTTTAGTGTTATTATCGGTCCTTAAAGACGTTTTTCATGTAATTTCGTATGCCTCAAGGAATTTTGAAGCTACAGGAATGGTAAGGTTTGACGCGATGATAATGATGGTTGGGAGTCGATGTATGTAAAAGACGATTTGATCCAAAGTTTGACCCTGTGCTTTACGTCATCGTAAATGCAAGAAAAAGATGAGACTGGGTTCGATTCAACTCAGAGCATCACCAAGGAATTTCGGAGACTTATTTCGGGGTATATGGCATCTTAGAGGTTTCGGTGACTTTTGAGAGAGTGTACCCTCTGGGTGTTGGATGGAGGAAGGCTGCCAGGTAGGGCAGATAGATAGATATCTACCTGTGGACAAACTGGGGGAGGGTGGATTTTGCCCCCAGCTAGAATTGTTGTCTTCACGAGCCAAAAACCTCTCTGCAGTTGGTCCGCGGGTAGGTACGTATGTATTCTTGAAAGCTGTTCGAGGTTGCTAACGTAAGCGACGGCAATTTCTTACGTGTTTTTTCTTTGCGAGTAAGGGATGTTTTCTGAAAATGGAAACTTTTTACAGCAAATGCATGTTACGCCTATTTGTTTCAGCTCGTCGGCTAAGATAGTATTTGAAATCATGGAAAGCGGAAAAAATATAATCTGCAGTTTTCTTTTATAGTCCAGGCAATCAAGCATTTTTCTGGGTAAATCATTGTGTAGAAGGTTCCTTCGTGGAAACGTGTTACAATAGGCCACCAGAACAATATCAATATCAATAGTTTACCGGAATCGGCTGTCTGCTTAGTCCACCATCTCGAAAAAAAGCGGGCTGGGGGAAGGGGGAGGGGTAAAATCTACAGTTTCTTTCAAATCTAATGCTGTATCATCGTTTCTAATCTCGCCAAACATAGTGCGGTCGTCGGTCGCATATCAGCACAAAAGCATATTGGCGCCTACAAGACTGTAAGAACACTTCATGCACTGCGCTAAATACAGTGCGGTCGCCGCGCCGGCTGGAGGGAAAAGTATATTAGTGCCTACTAGAGTGCCGGAATACTTCACGCATTGCGCCAAACACAGCGCGGTCGCTGCTCAGCGCAAAAAGCATATTAGCGCCTACGAGAGCGCCGGAATACTTCACGCATTGCGCCAAACGCAATGCGGTCGCTGCTCGGCGCAAAAAGCATACGGGAAATTCTATGAAAACCGTCCTATTTGACCTACAAAGAAGTAAAGATTCAACTTGATTATTTTGGATCGAGGGTTTGTTGTTCATGTTTGCTGTTGCGGCTCCTCTCGCTGTCACGGCAGCGTAGCTTCGACTTCTCCGGGTTCAGTAGCCGGAGCAACTGCTGCTGCACCCGGAACTTTCGGTCAGTGAGCCCGGAACGGACGATAGCTCATGTAAATAGCCGTAAATACGAGTTTCACGTTTGTTTCAGTCATAGACGAATCCAAGGGGGGGGGGGGAGGCCAGAAAAAAAGGAGGAAGAAAAAGGGAACAAAGAAAGAAGGAAGACGGATGTTTAGATTTGGTAATTTTTCATGCCAAAATGACACAAACTGCATTTAGACGCTTTTAAATTTTGAAAATACTCTGTAGGAGGCCTTTACGACCCTCTCGTATTCGAAGTGTCTTGATCCGTCCATTGGCGTAGCTAGGAATTCTTCAAGGGGGGAGGGGGGGAAGGGGGTCCGTGACGGTAAATTTACATTATTTTGTGTACGTCCCCGATAATATTTTATTTTTGCCCTCCAAAAGTAAAAAAAAAGGTAAAAAAGGGGGTCCAGACCCCCTGAACCCCCTCTCCCCCCGCCTACGCCACTGGATGCGTATATGTTTTTAGTGTAGTAGCACTTTTGTATGCTCTCGAAGCGGAAGGAGGAAATGTATCTGATTTGAATTTGTGTCGGCAGTGATGAACAATTACCAGGCAGCGGCTGCTGTGGCGGCGCAGGGTTTCGGGCCCCCGCCGGCCTCGCCGCATGCGACGACGACTCGCGGCGGTTTCCCGGCGGCCAATTCCCCCGGACCCACGATTGACATGTACACCTCCAGCGGCAACGAGAGCGTCACAGGCTACGTTCAGGCTGCTTCACCTCAACCCTCTGCTGCCTTCCCAACAATAGCAGTTTCCCGGGCTCCTATCAATTACAACCCGGTAAGTTTTCACCCTCAGAACCTTGATCATTAACCTCCACTCTTCGAAGGAATTAAAAAGGTGTCAGGTCAATTGGAGTGCATGTTTCTCCAGGGTGTCTAGCATCAGGATTTTCCCGATTTTCCGATTTTCCCGATTCTATCAGGATTTGAGGTCAATCAGGATTCAATCCCGATTTCATCAGGATTTGAGGAAAAATCGGCCGTAAAATCAGGATTCGAGCAAAGTCGGCCGTCCGATCGGTTTGATCTGGTTCCTTAGCGTGTATTTGCATTTTCGTTGATTCACACTTGTTTTTAATCTTTAGAACTTAATTTTAGAGTTCTGCTTTCGCATACGCTTTTGCAGAAATTTTAATTTTTCTTCGCAAAAAATCAGGATTTGATCAGGATTTGGAAAAATTATGAAATCAGGACTTAGCAGTCAAAAATCAGGAAAAATCAGGATTTCTTCAGGATTTCTCAAAATGAAAAATAACTAGACACCCTGTATCGGTACAGATTGAGAAAATGCCGCTAACCTCCGGAAACGCCGCTGTTGCTGACAATGGCTGCCTCTATTGGAACTGCTGAGCCAAAGCCAGAAATGAAAAATTTCATGAAATTTATCCGTGTGAAATTTCATAAAATTTGTTGAAACTTCNGGGGGTATTCAGGGGGCCAAGACACGCATAGAAACAGTGATTCTCGATTTTTAATTTTTTCACCCCAAGCCTCACGCGTTGCACATGTTTTCATTTGGTTTTGAAGTTAGTTTGGAGCTAAATTTCTCTCCATACTCCCCTTTGTGTCCCTCTCTGTGTATAGCTACTCAGTAGGGTAGCATGATACTGCCGCATTAACAGGAAAACCGCTTTCCGGACTTGCGAAGATTTAATTGATAGTTCCGAAAAAATCGACGAATTTCAAATTTTGTGAAATTTATTCGAGCCTTCTGAAGTTTCACTTTCCATCCTTGGCCAAAGTATCTTGCCTCGTATGTCGAGTACCTACATCCGATGAATCGTTTGGCTCGTGCGCCACTAAATACTTGGCAACAGTCATTTTTGCCAGCTCTGAGGACTCCGATAAATCTCGGTAGGTAAGGGTTTTCTTGATGGCGAACCAGAGTTGAGCGGAGTACAACAATTAGATCTCTGGAAGTAAGTTGACACGATGCGGGCTCAACTTGTGTTCGGTATCTTAATTCATTGTATTCAGGAGTTGTGCACGAGTTTGTCGTCCCAAGGATATAGAATCGAATTCATTTTCTGATGGCAAGCCGCTCAGTAGATCGAGTCTATTAAAGAGGTCGGACATGAAATGTTTGACTAAATCTGCAAATTTCGATGTTTACTTCGTCACATTTTAAATATTAAGGGGTGCTTCTAGAAGCAAATTCCACAAGGAAACCAATGGAACCAACTTTTAGAACCTCAAAGTTTTGTTTAAACGGAGTTATAAGCTTTTGGAGTTTCCAAATTTTGTCCGACCTCTCCTATTGAATCGATCCACTGCGTGGCGGTTGCTTGCCAATTGCAGGATATCTGTGCTGGGTCCTTTCTGATCAAGCTTGCAAAGCACATTTCTTCGATCGATGATAAAATTCTCGACGAAATCGGACTGTGCTTACGTGAGACGAGAAGGTGGGGCTTTTCGGGGTAGGGTGACTAGGTCTATGTTGATTGGTTGGCGTAATTTTTATATTGTATTGATATTTTGAAAGAAAGTCCAGAGATGGTATAGATAATGCTAAAATGAAAAGGAATGATGGGTGCCAGAAAAAAGATACCATGAACCGTAAATAGAGGAAGCTCAAGGCTTCATCTGTCATAGCTGTCAAGAACGGGGTATAAAAGCATGCTGCAAGTCGGAAAAATTAATTTTCATGACACCCTCCCCGCCCCGCTTCTTTTTGCTTCTCTCGAATCGCAGGTCACTCGTGGATTCTACGTAAGTTTCAAAATCGAGGAGCTCCTTAATCAGGTCATTCATTCGTTACGTTTTGATTGGTCGCTGTACAGAGGTCCCAACTCGAATGATGGTGGCGTCGTTTTCGATCAGGCTCCATTTTTGCTCCGTCGCACAATGAATCGAGTTAAGGGGAGAGGTCGGACAAAATTTGGAACTTTTACAAGCTCATAACTCTGTTTATACAAAACTTCGAGGTTTTATAAGTGGTTCCATTGGTTTCCTCGTAAAATTTTCTCAAAGAAGCAGCCCTTAATATTAAAAATGTGATGAAAATAACATCTAAATTTGCAGTTTTAGTCAAACATTTCATGTCCGACCTCTCTGATTGACTCGATCCACTGTGCGTCGTGTCATCGCGGCTCACCTGCTATGTAAAAGATTTTACTAGATCAAAATAAATCTGGTTTTTGACATTATTGTCGGGTTCCGGTCCGCGCTGTGCGAGTTTTCAGCACTCTCTAGGAATTCAGCGAGTTTCAACGCTCACCCATCCTCATTGACGGAACCGCGACACACTCACATCTGGAATGTTTTAAATTGGTACATACACCCTATGCGGCAAACTCTGTGTCAGTCAACGTTTATCTGTGTCAGAATTTTGCGTATCATGTAATTTGCCGCTTCAAACAATATAACTACTACGGCACGGATATGCAGTAATTTCATGCTCGTAAGTTTATATTAGCAAATGAAGACGTGAACTAAACATACATTCAATTCGAAAATGTTTTCCTAAATCAAATTATATTGGTCCAACCAAAGTTGGGCCGAACCTACTTTTTCAATACGTACTTTAAGTTAATTTTTCAGAGATTATGCTCAAAATTGGCGTCTGCAAATTTTGAGCTCTTTGAAAACGAGAACTTTCGATTAGTCACCAATTTAAATCAAAACTCGCCAATTCAAAATTAAAGTTTACCGTCTATTTTACGTCCATAATCAAGTTTAATATATTTCTGTAATTATTTTATGCAGGGACCATTGATTCCGGCTGCATTCACCAACGGTTACCATTGAGTGCCATTGTATAGTCACGAGCATATGCCAACTGATCTTTGAGGTAAGGTAATACTAATATGAATTTGTAACCAACCATGCCGCTCCGTGGCTTTAGTACACTTCAATGATCTAATCGCTGTACCAGCCTGTGCTCCATTCTTAGGACGCTGATAGTCATTTTGTCCGTGATCCCCCCCCCCCCCCAGAGGAGCCTGGCTCACTAGCACACCGCATTGTACAGATTTGTCATTATAAGCTGTATTTAAGTCAGTATTTAGGGTGAGGGATGCTTGGATGATGGTCTGGCGTGGAAAATAGAGGCGGACTGAAATCGAAAAAGTTACAGTTAAAAGTTAAAAGTTAAAATCGCTCTCAAGGTGAAATTTTTTCTCAAAAATGGACGTATTCATGCGAAAAGGAACTATGTCACGCGCAATTCCTATGCTCATATAGTTCCTTTTAGCATAAATACGTTCAAAAATCACTCATCAAGTGCATTCATCAAGGTTGATTTCGGAAACAAGATAGAGAGTCGGAAACAGTTTTGCTTTCTCTCCAATTCAATTCGCAAAAAGAAAAAAAAGTTTTCCCACTTCTAAATTTTTTGTAAATATAGTTGAAATGAAAAAGAAAAATTCGTAGAATATCTAAATAAAAATGATTGTTGTTTAGTTCTTTAAAAAAATTGAATAAAAGTTAAACACGAGTGGATGTGTGTAACGTTGCAATCGGAGATAAACAGGTTTTTGTGAGTAGCTATGAAGTTACTCAATGCATCCGTCGATATGTAACGCACATTTAAGGAAGGCGCTTGTGAGATAACTATTCGACCACGGGTGATGCCCATATTGCCGCTAGCCGGGATTGAAGGCGCGTCACATTGCTACGATAACACGATCGCGCTGAGCTGGCTGACGCCGCGCCGCGCCAGTGCATGTTGGGATCACGCGTCATTTCATTCTTGACTCGCGCTTCTGTCCCTTTTTTATAGTATTTTATGTATAATATGTATCTTAATTGCAACGTTTCAGAATCTTGGACTGTGTTTAATTTTTGTTTAAAAAAAAATTCTCTTGAAATTTAGTGAGTGAGGTACGCTTGATTTAAGACTTTCCCCCAAATATCCAACGCATTAGGTCAAATTTGAAACCTCCTCCGTGCATAAGTATTTCCTGAACAAAACAGATACCGATAGTACCCAATTTAGGCTAAAAATTGTCCAAAAACTACGTGATTTTTCATATCGTGGAGGAGGGAATTGGATCGCACTTAGCAAAAAGGAACCAGTATGATCACAGTGTTTTCAAAATCGTGCAACTTCTTCTTTTCTGTTGAAAATGCTTCCAATATATACAGTGTTAAAATTGAAACCGTTTCGTTCCTTTAAAACGTACACTTTTTTGGAGGGGAGCAAAAACTATTTGCTTTTCTGGGGTATTTTATGAGATAATCATGAAGAAGCAACACTATTAAAACACTAACTGATGCGGTGGACGCACGGGTCGTAAGATAGTACGTTGGAGCTTTTTAGCCAACGTGCGTTAAAAATTCAGCATACAGCTGAAAAGCTATCTCTTTGCGGGAAAATTGTGCTCATATGAGCTTTTTCCCTCTGTTTTGATATTTTCAGCTTTATGCTAAATTTTTAACCTACGTTGTCAAAAAAAACTCCAACCTACTACTATGAAAATACTATAATTGCGCTGGTTCTTTTTTGCTAAATCAGTCCCTTTTCGGAGCACTGGAAAAAAAACACATTGGATCTAAAGTCCAGACTCTCGAAAACATTGACTAGAAAAAGGACTCTTGATTTGAGCAGTTTTAAGCTCAAATCAAAAGGAAATCCGCGCAAATTAAGAGGCTTGGTTCTGGATTTAAGCTTAAATCTGATTGAATCAAGAGTATTTTTTCTTGTCGATCTTTATAAGAGTCTGGACTCTATATCCAATGCGTTTTTTTATTTTCCAGTGAGCTGTTCTTTACGAGTTTTGCTAACGTTAAACTTTCAGACGGATTTTACAAAAAAAATAGCCATTCTCTATTTGTTACGAGAACTAGATTTGTGAAATTGTCCCTCGGCTGCATCCGGAAGAAAACGGTCGTGAGCATTTGGACAGCGAGCCATTCGGGGGTTTTGAGGAATCAAAGTTGACATTGCGCGAAGGTCGGGTAAAATCTTTGGAAACCCGGGCCTCGCTCACCGCTCGGAGCCCTCTTCTCATTCTCTTCACCTTCTCTTCCCGTACGTACGTCATAGTAGCGAGCGTCCTTCCCTTCTCTCTATGCGAAGCTTGTGTTGTTTGCGGGTTGGGGGAGGGGGTGGTCTCTCAGTGGTAAGCGAGGCCCGGATTTCCACAGATTTCGCCCGATGCTCGCGCATGTCTACTCTGCCTCAGCGGATCGTTGCCCTCGAATCCACGTCTATTCTTCATCACCCGTAAATGAAATGGATAATAAAAGAGATCTGATTTTTAATGAGATGATTAATACATGCTACTTTTCTGTGATCTGTTCAGGTTTTTGTTGATCTTCTGAAGTCGAGCAGTTTCTGAAGGCAATTTTAAAGCGATCTAGTCGATAAATAAATCGGTGACTCATCTTTTAATAATTTCAAAGCGGAACAAATGAGAGGTGTATATTTGTGTGTGTATATTCAAGTATGTCATGTAATTTTATCATACTTCAATAATACTCATTCAAAACTGTTGATTTTTACAATATTTAAAGAGTCTAATAATTATTTGAGGGGTCTATACATTTTACGAGAAATTCAAGAACTGAAATTAAATTTTGAACTAATTTTAAGACATTTTTGCTGGTTTATTCATCCTTTATCTTCGAAAATTCTGCATCAACTTTTTCTTGGTTTTTCTTTATTTTTCTTTGTGACTTTTACTTGTTCAATTTCAATTCTATAACACAAGGATACTTCTCTACCTGACCTATTGCTCACTCTATAAATTATATTTTCTTAAATTTTCTAAGACTTAAGAAACTAACAAAAGAAGGAACAATAAGCTAAACCCACATCAAGGTTTTTGTTCAACAACTATTTTATTTTTATTCACTTGCGATTCTGTTTTTGTTATCATTTTTCCTACATATCATATTAGTTGTCCTAGTCAAATCGTACATCGGCTTTCAAAAGAAAAAATAATATGTGATCCAGGGCAGTCAGTTTTTCAATTTATACTCAGACCTTGAAGAGGTTGAGATATACTATTGCTCACTGACAATTACAAACGATTTTGATGAGCTTGAGAACACGTTTTTCAGCCACAAAACAATTCTTCAGGGACCTTTACCTATTTTCTCCAACGGAAAAATTATAAATAATTGAACGTTTGAAACGTGGTAGGTACTGAGTTATTGGTGGGTTTTTAAGTAGACGTTTCGGAACATTCTCATCCTTTACGTGAATCATAATTGTTTTCCCCCATTTTTTCTCTCTTCCTCTTTCCCTTGATTCTTTTATCCTCATAAATACTTGAAAAATGAAGCTCATTCTTAGACCGTCTCATTTTCGCATGTAATTTCAGAAAACTATAAATGGCACATTATTGTAACGCATATCGAAGGTGGAACTATGATTTTACAAGCTAACTCGCCTTTTTAGGAGGTCATAAACGTTCCGCGTCCGCTATCTCTGACAATGAGATAATCAAACTCGAGCATGACTGAAATGAGATACCTCTCAGCTTCTGGCGAGCACTTAAAAATCGTCCCCACTGAATAAATTTTTGCGAGGAATACTTAGATACGTTTCTCAAACCTTTTTGACTTGTGATATGTGTAATTAAGTACCAGATTTTGGGCTTATCTTTGTTTAGACCCTAATCATAAATAGACCCAATATTAAATTGCATCAAGTGTAGTGTGTTTAAATTTACGGTGTAATTAAATTTAATTTACTTAGCAGGAAGCTTCCGTTAATCCCACAAAATCTTTCATCGCGATGCCGGAATTCCATTCCAACGGATTGCAGATTATTTTTCACTGCGCACGAAGTGCACGAGCGGCAGTCGCGGCAGCAAGAAATAATGCGGCGCTATCTTTTTTTTTGTTCGTTTAGTCTATAATCTGGTTTTCCATGCTGTCTGAAAGATCTCTATTGGGTACGCTGGCACATTGCACGGACGCTTTTTGCAAGTTAACTCCGAGTTTTGCACGCTTTACCGCTCGAACCATAATATTTTGATCGCAGAAAAAGAATATCTCCTGAAATCGAGGAACGCAGTTTCGTAGTTTCACCATCAATAAGTTAGTATTGTGTAAACAGTCCCAAATCCCAAGCACTAAAAAAACCGCTTGAAGGGAAATTTCCACCGAAGCTTCGTGGTCATACAATTTCCAACTGTTTAAAAACTTGAATAATAACATATCGATTTTAACAATCACTTTACTGAAAGTTAGAGAAAATCCGGTTACTATTTACCAACGGAATTTTAAAGTCATAATTTTAGTATACCTCTGTATTTATGAGTTCATCGATCCGTCGCACTCGGGCAATACAACTAAAAACACTTCGTTTCTGTTACCTAGGAATAAATAAATATTTCTTTTTTTTTAAATGTCCCATGAGGAGTTTCTTTTTTTGGTCCATAAGTAAAAAACAGTAATTAACCTACAATAAATCTTTAGGTAAACATTGTAGATCCTGTCTACAGATATTGGTAGGTTCTTTTAAGTTTGGTTTCACATTTTTTCATTTATTTTCTCCTGTCCTTTTAATGAATACATGACTACATAATTTAGTCCGTCTCTCGGCAACTAAAGACAATTTCCTCACTGAGTGAGGAAGATCGACTTCTCTGTTCCCGCTTGTAGGAAACCCACGGATAACTTGGTTTCGTAAGGCTATTTAGGTGTCTGAAAACCACGTGTAAAACTATAGTACATGGTGGAGCACAGACTGACTTCAAAAGTACTACCGAATCACACTTCTGGCACTTTTCTCAGCTGGTGGTCAATTTTTAAAACCAATTACTAAAGTTTGCCTCACACCATTTTCAAGCGCACTTAACGACTTTCAGTGAAGTCACAATCGTTCGTATAGATATATACTTTGGAGTTTATCCATCCTATTTGGGCAATACAACTAAAAACGTTCAACCTCTGCCATTGGTTGGTTTACTAATGAAGAACAGTTGTTAACATTCATTATTTTTTCTCCTCTCGTTTTCTTGTGTAGAAGTTGTATGTCAAAAGTTCATCGTAGGATTTTTATTTCTATCAATTTTTTTCCTGTCCATTTAAAGTCGATACAATGAACCTTCATTTATCTTTCGGCAATGAATGTTACTCGCCGTTAAGCAATTTCGTGAATAAATCGTTTTTTTAAGGAATTGCAAGGGTTTGAAAACTATTTTTAAAACCAGAGAACATGACGGAGTACAGACTGAGCGGAAAAGTACCACTGAATCATAGTTCTGGCACATTTCGCGGTCAGTGGTCGTATTGTAATCTTGATTACTCAAGTATGTCCTCCGCTTTCCTAGTTAACCCTTTTTTATTTTAGCTGATTCTCGTGGAGAAACATTTTGTCTATCTACAGGCATTTAACTCGTTCCTCAAGTTCGTCACGTTTTAACAACTCTCCAATTTTACAAAATTATCTATAAGATCCAAATTGCTGAAAGATGAAGAACTGTATTACAAAAGGACACCGGCTTGCTTGATCATGAAGAATACACTCAAACACCCCCCCCCCCCCAAAAAAAAAAAACATAATTAATCTGAATTTTGACCTTGCAATTTTAGTTGTGTTGCCCTTTTGATCGTTGGGGCGTTGTAAACCAAATCCAAGAATTTTGCTCATTGATTATTTTTCGTTTCTTATACATTACTTCCACAATCCTCTCTCTCAGCCTTAGTAAACAAGTTCTTGTAGGTATCTTAAAAATATTATTCAACTGTTCATGAAAGTAAGCAGTTATACTTTTAAGATGTAGACTTAGATAAAAAAAACCGACGGAAGAAAATATTGATGCATTATTTTTAGTTTGGTCAATTTCACTAAGCTAGCATATATATATTAAACATATGTTTTATATATATACAATTTAAATATATATAAAACGATTATTAATGATAGGGAATAGCCATAAATGTTGCCGTTTTTATTCTACACACAAGAATAAGATTGTGGGTAATAATACATTTTAAGAAAAGGAAAAACAAGTTTCTATTTTTTCTCCGTTTGGGAGTATCTTGAAACGTAACTTTATTATATTTTTTTTTAATTTTTATTTTTTTTTATATTATAAAAAAAATCTTTGTTGCATTTGAGAATTTTACTTTGTTAAACGTTTCTGTTTACTTGAAATCCAAGTAAAACATTGTTAGAAACTGTTAATTAGCTTCATTGTAATTTAAAAAAGAAAAAATATTTATATTTATCCTCCATTCAAATGACATTCGACCAATACGCAAACTTCATCGATTTTGAATATGGATGATACATGGGGAGCATTCCTCGTTAATCCAATAAATCTTCATCTATTGTTTCGTTTTTTCAATTTTTGTTTGTTTATCTCAATTTTACTTTCTCTTTTCCTCTCTTTTCTCTTTCCTCGCCTCCTTTCTTTTCACTCTTGCTCCTTTTTGAATTTTTTTTTGTGTGTGTTTTTTTTAATCTTTTTATTTCATATGCCTCTGCTCTCTCGGGTTGCGCACCTTCAAAAAAACTCATATTACTTCCTCTACTTTCATTTTTTCTTCCTTTCTTTCATTATTCCCTTTCTTTCTTTCTTTTTTTCTTTCTTTTCTTCTTCATCTTTCTATCTGTTTATCTAGCAATCTACCCATTCATCTATCTACCTATCTATCTATCTATCCATCTACTTACCTATCTATCCATCTATCCATTTACCTACCTATCGTTTTATTAATCTATTAATCTATTATTTTATTTATCTATCTGTCCATCTTGATATCTATCTTTATATCTATTTATCTAAGCATCCATCTATCTATCTATATATCTATTAATTTATTTATCTATTTATCTATCGATATATTTAACTATCTACCTATTCATTCATCTAATAATTCATTGATTTCTGCTTGTCTTAATTTCTCTGTATTCAAAAATTATCATGTACCTCTATCTGTTAATGATAGAATTAAAACGATATATTTCCACAACACATCATTGTCATCAGAAATGAACCACCAGGTACACATTCAATAGGTGGCAAGAAAGGAAATTAGAATTTAACAATTGAGATTTGAAGTTCGTGCTCATTTTTGCATTTTCAGTATTCCTTCATCCGAGGAAGTTATCTCTTGCAGGTACATGTACTGAACCTAAGTTCGACATCTTTTCACTCTAAATTGCTTACGTGTACAAATACAGTGTTTCTCATTTTTAATCTCTCGCTCTCAATGAAATAATTTTTAGATTTATGAGAATACGAGATCATAGCGAATTTTAGCCAAGAAAATAGCAACGCTTGATTTCGACCGAAGTCCTATCCGAAACAAATTGAGCACCATTTTATCTTTGCGAAGCCTGAGAAACTCGCGTCTTTTTATTTGCTTTTCCTAGCTCTCTTTCTTATTCTATCTCGTTTTACTTTTATCTTCTCTCCATTTCCCATCTTTATGCTATTGATTCACTACTTCCACGCTTACCAAGCGATCAAAAAACTCTACGGAGTGCGAGATTTGGAGGTATTAAATTTTACCAAACTAATTTATAGTCTTTTATTGTTTGTTTAATATCTGCTACGTAGGTGGCGCCTCGTTTGCTGAGTCATAAATCTCGGTGTTGAGGTATACAATTCCTGGTAAAAAGTACAGGAAAACCAAAGATTCGTTTTACTCTAAGATTGACTCAAATGTGTAAATTATGCTCCAACAGGAAAAGCTCATTTGGAAGGTTGATGTAACATAATGTGTGGCGTTTATGTAACATGCCACTTCGTATGTGCAGCGTACATACGACATACTTTTAGCTTACGACTTACTCCAGCGTACTTTTTTTAGGTTTCCCTTCTTCCTCTTCTTCTTGTTTTCCTTTTGTATAATGGCATAATTACTGCAAAAATTCTAATTAAAAAAGTGTTAACTTAAATGCAAATGACTGAAAATCAAAGGAAAAAGTCGTGGCTATGATAGTTTAACCATCTCTGATTCTTTTGAAGAGCAGCTTCAAAAATGCAGTTAAAACGGTTTAAACTCACTCTCTTCTCCCTCCTTAGCCATGAAAAAGCAGGTCGAAATTTTTTTCTCGACTTGAGATCTTGTTCACCCTTTCAAATTTTCATTGACCTCACTTTCCCACCATAACCGTTCCACACCAGTCGTGCTAAATTCAATGATAAATGTCTTATAACGTAACCTTAAGAGACTGCTTTAATGTAGCCTAAAATTCATTACCTAAACCGAAAAATAATCAAATATTTATGATATTTAGAGCAGCTATGGCTGCGATTGCGTACTATATGGAGATAAATTCACGAAAATAATTTGAAAGCCGATCGATTAGTTGATTATCTCTTAGCACTGTACTTCAAAGCAATTTTGGACCCCTCCCCCCACCCCTCTCACCTTTTCGAAGTAAATTTATGCCTTGGTGCGTTAGGTAATCACACAAAATTTGATCAGGGAATACATTGAAATAACTCCAGAAGTATGAGCGAGTAGAAGCAGCAAACCTTTTTGTCTTTCGATTTGCTATATGTATGCGCACTGCACTATTGGAATTAGTTCAAAATATACCTGCATAAAATTTGTTAAATCTGACACATGCACTTCAGGATAACCTTTCTTTAAAGTTGTTTTGGACCACTATATTCAGGAAGCTTCATACGATGGACTGATCATCAAAACATATTGTAAAATCACTATAATTTTTTTAATTTTGAAAATGAGAAGTGTAGAAATTTTTTTTTAGTGCAAATCGACAAAAGATTAATTTTGGCCCGATAAATATTTTACTGATAACTAAAGCATACACTGTAAAGGAAGGGTTTCAAATATTTCACAGTTTCTCAAGTAACACGTAACTTTGGAACTCTGTAAACCAGAATCGTCGCGGTTTTTTTTAAATGGATCATTTGTTGGAAGAAATAAAGAGAGAGAAAGAGAGAGAGAGAGAGAAAAAAAATAAATTGCACGCACGTACACGTTCAATGGTTATTTAATAAGCGCCGAATTTAGCTATTTCCGATAATCCTTTATAATATTGGAAAAAAATTGGTGAAAATTTCGGACCGGTGTTTTCAAGATAATGGGACAACCTCTTATAGTTGATAACTCCTTTTACCCTTAAAAAGTATAAGCTATGTTGTTTTTCTTGGTTTTTTAAGATTTACGATTTAATGAATTCATACGGCTCACAAACACTATTTCATACGCAATAAAAACTGTTATAACATCGTAGGGCGACAATTACCGCCAATCTTGGTCTATTCTCTATAATTCAATACTAGTAAATTAACTTAACGCTGATAGCTACAATGAAAAACAAGATATGGAAAATATTAAATAATATGCAAACCACATGAAAGTCCGAGGAGCCTCTCTTAGAGAACGCCATGCGTCAAGTAGATGCAAATTAGTATAGTTAGCCGGTAATAGAGGACCCACAACGACAACAGAATTCACTCCGTGAGGATAAACTGAAACGATTTAATAAGGTTTATTTATCAATATTGCAACTTCGACATCCGTTGAAATTTTTCTGTGATGTAATTTTGTTGTTGCTATGGGTTTCCTATTATCAGAGTGCCTTCCTCTTTTTGACCACAGACCTATGCTGTTTTGTTTTTCGTTGTCGTCATCATCATTCTTATATAAGTTAATTTACAATGGTTATGCGCGGTCACTTTTGAAAATGATCGACACCAATAGAAAAGGTGAATCAATTTGTAGTTAAAGGGCGGATGTAGATAGTTTGAGTGTAAAATATCACTCGTTTCTCAGGGGCTCCTAGCTCCCCAGAGCTTGGAGTCACCCGTGAGTTTTGAGGCTTTGCCACCAAAGGCCAGCTAAATGGTCAGGTAGGTAGCTAGGTATGCCCTCGGTGCTTTAAAACTTTAGGTTACTTTGTTTACTTCCGGACTGTGATATGTAGGTTTTTTTTAGCTTTTGTTCCTTTTTATTCTTTTTATATATTTTTCCGGTTGAAAATGGAATTGTTAGGATCCTGAAACGCCCCAGCCTTTTGATGTCCTCGTGTTTTAGCTTTGGTTACCCATTTTTTGTGTTCTTTCTTTCGTAAGTTAATTTACCAGTACTGATTATCCGTTAAAATGGACCAAAAGTGGCGCCGGAATGTCGCGTTGATCATAAACCAAGAATGTTGATGAATAGTCATCATAACGTATGAAATTGTCGTTGTGAACCTTGTAAACCCATTGAATCGTGCAGTACAAGCTGCGTGTAATCTTTCACAAACCAATTTGGCTGTGTCAATGGTGTAGTTAATTCATTGTAGGTGTTAGTATTTTTCCATCATCTTAGCTAGTTGCATCTTAATTTTCTAACAAACATGATAATGACTCTTACCCGATAGATAGAAACCAAAGAGGTAAAATCAAATTTAGGTGGTGATTATGTTATTGTTGCACACACTCACTTAACCAGTTATACATAAAACCTGTATATTATTTTATTTTTCCTTTGTATATTGTACGTTCACGCAATATGACTGTATGTATTTTTCACCTTTATGATGTATGCGTATAACTATGTAAAATAAAACTGGAGAATATCCGTAGGCAATGGATTGTGCATGAAGCAACCATTTTAGTTCTTTCAATATGATCTGTGATATCTCGTTGACCTGTTTACTTTGTTTTTTCAAATGTATTTGACTTAGAGTGTCATTGGGCCCTACTTATTTGTCCGTTTAATGAAAACGTCTCCAGGGAAATTTTACTTGCATTCACTAACATCTAACCGAACCACCATTGAACTGGCATTTCAGCAATTTCGTAGATTTTTTAGTGGCTTAACAAGAATGCAGGCGGTCAGATTTTGGTTTGGAGGATTATATTTATAACTCATTACGATGGAACATTTTGTCGCTCCTCTGACGTGAGGACGTATCGTTATTTTCACGTGAGCCCTATGCTGCGTATAACTCTATGTTTTCCAGGGCTCATGCCAAAATAGAGATATACGCCCTTACATCAGAGGAGCGACTATATGTCGCATGAACGTGACAAAGTAAGTCGAGGAAGGGACTTTCCCTCCCTGTGGAGCCATTTTAAACCCATCGTGCTCAATTTGATCGTGATTCCATAGACTTTTGCTGATTTTTAAGTCAATGAGAGCGAGCAGCCAACGCCAATTTTTCTGATTGGTTGCTAAATCGGACAGAAAAATTATCAGAATTTGCTGAAAATTCAATAGAGATGAGTTTTTAACCTTTTTTGAGGCTCTTTCAGGGACAATAACATATCTTGTAGCTAAATAATGTTATGAAACCCTTAAATCCTCTATAATGAATCTTTCCAATTAACATCCAATTTTCTACGTGTTTGCCAAGCTCGATGGAAAAATCAGC